CCAGCCCAAAACATTTCATGTGACTGGGGCCTGAGAAGACTATCATGGAAGTCCTGGCCTTGAATCTCTTTCCTAGCAGCCTAAATTTTTCCTCCAGGACCTCATGACTGCATTTCCCCACATTGTTGGTGCCAAGATGTACCACGACCACTGGCTCCTCCCCAGCACTGTCTACCAGCCTATCTAGAACATGCATAATATCCGCTACCTTTGCACCAGGTAGCCAAGTCACTATATGGTCAGTACGCGGGTTTGCCACCCAGCTGTCTACTTGCCTAAGGATCACCAACCACTAAGAGCCCCCTCTCTCCCTGCCTGGGGATGGCTCCTTGGTGCAAAAGGATACCCGTTCAACAGCTGAAAAAGAGGTCCCTTCTGAAAGCAGACTCCCCTTATCCTCAGCACAATGCCCTTTTTCTTCTTGACCCTCATGCTCCATGACACCGGTGGGGCTGCCATTTTCAGAGTGGGATATACCTAACACATCTCCAAGAGTCTTCTCCATGCACCTAACTGACTGTCTTTGCTTCTCCAGGTCAGCCACATTAGCCTCAAGGGAGCAAACTCGTTCCCCGGAAGCAGGAGCTCCTTGCACTGAGCACACACCCAAGACTTCTGTCCATAAGAACATAAGAAAAGCCAATTTTGGATCAGGCCACATGGCCCATCCACTCCAACACTCTGTCACATAGTGGCCAAAAATACCAGGTGCCGTCAGGAAGTCCACCAGTGGGGCCAGGACACTAGAAGCTCTCCCACTGTTGGCCCCCCAAGCACAAGAATACAGTGCATCACTTGCCCCAGACTGAGAATTCCTATCTATACCTTGTGGCTAATAGCCACTGATGGACCTCTGCTCCATATGTTTATCTAATTCTTCCTTGAAGCCGTCCATGCTTGTAGTCACCACCCCCTCCTGTGGCAGTGAATTCCATGTGTTAATCACTCTTTGGGTGAAGAAGTACTTCCTTTTATCCGTTCTAACCTGACTGCTCAGCAAGTTCATTGAGTGCCCACGAGTTCTTGTATTGTGAGAAAGGGAGAAAAGTACTTCTTTCTCTACCTGCTCTATCCCATGCATAATCCCATGCATGTCACCCCTCAACTGCCATTTCTCCAAGCTAAAGAGCGCCAAGCACTTTAACCTTTCTTCATAGATAGTCATGTATGTGACACTTCATGCAAAACACTAGATAGCCCCCAACCCCCTGCTGGCATTCTACCCTCATAATTGCTTATTAAATAATAATTATATATAATTCTCCTTTTAAAACCATTCATATTTATGTGGCTATCCTTGAGGAAAGTCTACTTACTTACTGGGAACACAAAGAGACTAGGGCCCTGGCTTTCTGGTCCTTCTTGGGCTTCTTACAGAGTCCCTAGGCCAAGAGATACAAGGTGGCAAGGTGCAGCCTTAAACAGATCCTCACCCAGCAGAGGGCAGAGCCAGCAACTATTCAAATTACACCCAGCCAATCCAATTACAATCAAACAAAGCACCCTTTCTCAAGCAGCCAGGACTCTGCACAACTTAAAACTCACACACAGCCCCCCACTGTCATCCCACACAGTACCCTCAGCTAAATCTCCTCAGATTAAAGCAAATAAAAAACACCCCTCTAGCAGCTCTGTCTCCTGCTGCTTCTCAGCTGGGCTAGGGGGGATTTCCCTTGTCCTAATTTGGGGTTACCTTGAGCAAAATCACTAATTTAATAGTACATTCAAAATAAATCAGATCGAGGTCATTCTGAAATCCGGGCCCTGTCACACCCAGAGATGCCATTTCCAAGTAAGGCCTGGGGATGTCTGGGTTGGTAAATACCTGGAGATTTAGAGGGTGGAGCCTTGAGAGGGCAAGCGTTAGGGAGGAAAGGGACCTAATTGGTATGTAATATCGTAGTCTGCCCTCCAGTGCAGCCATTTTCTCCAGGGGAACTGATCTCTAGAGATCAGTTGTAATCCCGAGCGATCTCCAAGGAGACCCGTAGCTATGGTGAGACTTTTGGGGGGCTCTGCCACCTTTCTTAAAGGCCCACAAGAATTTCTCCTGTAAACACTTCCCCCCCCCCCAGTCATTTTAAAACATTTTTTAAAGGCATGCACTCCTTTAAGCAGAGTGGGATGTTGTAGTCGACTAATTCTTGCACTGAGCAAGGGGGCTGGAGTAGGTGACCTCTAACTCTGTGCCAAGAAATTGGTCTCCTTTAAGAGTTTTTCTGCCTAATTGTTAGCTTTCATGACTACAGAAGTCATCACCTCCACCTGCCGGCTTGTTATCAGAACTGTGGCGTAGGCTAGCAGAAATGATTAACTGTCATCTAAAGTGGCTGACAGCTTGCGATTTAGAGATCTATCCTGATAACAGCTTTCTATTGGCTAAATGGCTTTTCTTTCTGCACTGAGAACTTGAGCCCCACCAAAAAATAAGTTGCCTCATAAGCCACAAATTCCTGGCTACAGGCCTGTCTACAAGCCTCACTTGGAGGCTGGCATTCCCACTCTCCCAGAATTACAGCTCATCTACAGACTACAGAGATCACTTCCCATGGAGAAAAATTGATGCTTTGGAGGGTAGACTCTATGGCATTGTACTAGGGTTGACAGCCCCCAGGTCCGAGTGGGGCTTCCCCTGCTTTTGGAGGCTCTAATCTGCTCTGACCAGCTGGCCAGTGGGGGAAGCCTGGCTCCCAAGCCCCACCCCAAGAGTGACCACCTGTCTGGCCACCCCTCACTCCCCTTCTGCCTGATTTAAAGAGCCCTCCAGCTAGTCGGCAGGCCACGTGGTCCCCACCAATCAGCTGAAACTATTTAAATTGGGCAGGAGGGGAGGGAGAGGGGTGGCTAGGCGGGTGGTTGCTCTTGGGGGTTGGGCTTGGGGGCAGGGCTTGGGGGCATCCTCACTCACCCACAGAACACCCCCCCCCAAATCCCACATCAGAGCAATGAGGGGACCTGACAACCCTACAGTGTACCCCACCAAGGTCTCTCTCCTTGTCATGGGCAACGACGACGGTGCTGGGCCCCTGCCCGAGTTGGCAGAGCAGCCGGATTCGCCAGCATCACCAGAGCTGGAAGCTGGCCCCTCTGACTCCTTGGGAATTGACAGCTTGCTGCCACCAGTGCCTGAGTCAGTAACCCCCACACCTGGTCCTGCAGCAGCTGATGAGGCACAGGTGCAAACAGAAAGCCTGCCGGATTCACCTCTGCAGGTGGCTTGGCTGAGGGAGCAGCTCTGCAAGGAATTAGCAACCCGCTGCCGAGATACACACTGGCAGGGAAGGCAAGTGCCAAGCTCTGAGTACTAACAGGAGCAGCGCCGTCACTCAGGGAAGCACAGCCAGAGGCCTATGTAGCTCCCAGTCGGGAGTGGGCTCTCCGTGGAAGCAACAAGTTGTATCCATGCTGACCTCGTATCCACCCTCGGCTCCTGCTCTCAGACCTTGCTCCTGTTTGGATTTCTGGCTTCCTGACCTTTTGCTTTGAATGACCACTCTCTAGGGCTGCCAAACCGCGGCGGGGGATCCGTGCGTCGTCGCAGGATCGCTGCCGCAGGGGGACAGCGATCTGCGTTGCACCGGCATCGCCAGGATGTGATGCTACGCGTTGCCCTGGCAACGGGACTCCAAACAGCCCCGTTGCCAGAGCGACGCGTAGCGTCACATCCTGGCGACGCCGGTGCAACGCGGATTGCTGTCCCCCACGGCAGCGATCCTGCGACGACGCACGGATCCCCCGCCGCGGTTTGGCGGCCCCACCACTGTCTCAGACTCTCAACTCGGCTCCTGTTCTGTCTTTCCTGGTTTCCTGACCCCTGCTTCAGACAACCACTCTCTGAAACTCATGACTCGGCTCCTGTTCTTTCTCTTCTGGCTACGATCCCCAGACTGGCCCGGACTCCTGCCTCTCAGCCTAGCCTATGACACTCCTCCTCAGGCTACACCCCCCAAATCTCCAGGAATTTCCCAACCTGGAGCTAGCAATCCTACCTCCTCCCCCCGGTGGCCACGGGAGACTTGGTAACCCTAGTAACACTCCATGATCTCACTGGAAGCATGTTAGGGCCAAGATGCACTCACCAACCCTTCTCTTTTCCACATCTATCTGCCAGTAGTGGCAAAAAATGACAGTGGTGGGCACTCCATTAGAAACTAGTTACTGCTAAGACGTGTACAGCAGGGTCTGTGGTCACCAAGAATAATGAGAAATCATAGAAACACAGAGTTGGAAACTGTCATACAGGCCATCTAGTCCAACCCCCTCCTCAACGCAGGATCAGCCTAGAGCATCCCTGACACGGTTCCTTGTGTCATACATTTAATGTGGGTTTTGGTGACTATACATCCTGCTCCATGTGGGCATAAGCATTTACAAAGGTTGACCTTTTGGTGCCACTTCATGCATTTGGGTTAGTAAAAGATAGCAGTGCAGAGAGCTCATGGCAGGAGATACCAAAATGAGCCCGTTTTAAGTCATACATGAACTCTTAAGAGATCTGGGACTGCTCAAAATGGACTCTGGGAAGCCAAAATATTAAAATGCATATTTTGAATTCCCCACTTAAATTTCTGTGTCATCACTAATGGGATCAAACAGGTAAAATGGTATATCTGAAGAAAGAAAATACTATTCATTGACTTGTCTGCCAAAAGTTGTTCTTTTAAAAATCAAATGCTAAAAATATATATACTGAATGCATTAAAAAGATACGACACAAAGTACTGTTTTTATTTTACTATGTGTATATTTTATGAATAGATTAAAAGGCAACTTTCTTGTTTCTCTTTCAAAAGGAGGGAGAAGGGGAAGGAAAAGACAGAGAGAAATGAAAAACATGCATCTTGGGGTCTGGTGCCTACAGTGCTTGAACAACATTGTGATTAATTTTATACATACGTTTCCAGATGTTGGAATTTTATCCCAATTTTAAAGTATCTCTAATGTTTAACAGGATATGTGCTGAGTGTAGCCTCTAACAAAGTTCTCTTTCATAAACCTAGGCTCTAGCTGCAAAAGAGAATCCAGGGAAATATTTCTGACCAGGAGCCGAGTGTTCAGAAATTCCAGGGGGAAAAAAAGAGCCCAATAAAAGATGAGGAAGGCTGGATTTTTGCAGCACATGTTTAGGAAGACTACGGACAGGCACCAAGTGTCACATTTACGCCCCATGAACATTGCCTTTTTGGTGCTTATATCGATTGGCATCTCAAAAGCTCAGAAGGATTGCACAGGTGTGGAGTGTAAGCACCTGGAAAATTGCATTGAAGAAGTGCTTGAGCCTGGTGAGTGCTGTGCTGCCTGTCTACAACATGGTTGCACCTGTGAAGGCTACCAGTACTATGACTGTGTGAATGTAGGGTTTATAAATGGCAAAGTCCCTGAAGGGCAGTCCTATTTTGTCGATTTTGGAAGTACTGAATGTTCATGTCCCAAAGGGGGAGGCAAGATCAGCTGCCAGTTTATGCTTTGTCCAGACCTTCCCCCAAACTGTATCGATGCCGTGCTGCCATCAGACGGGTGCCCTCAGTGTGGAAGAATAGGCTGTGTCCAAGATGATCAGAAGTATGCAGCGGGACATACATTCCATGTGCCTCCATGCAAGGTTTGCCATTGCCCCAATTCTGGAGGGGACCTCATGTGCTATGAGCTCCCAGACTGTAACGAGTCTACATTAAATCCCCATAACCTGTCTGAAACAGACGATGTTGAACCAGAGCGGCACTATGATGATCCCTACAGTTATGACCAGGAAGCACCAGATGGAGACACTACACAGGTGGAACCACCTAGAAAATACTACAGCTATTCAGCGCATACAGAGCAGGAGAGCATTGGTCAAGAGCAAAGTGAGGACTATGATTACCTTGCAAACATTGTTACCTCCTCTTCACTACCACCTTCAGTTTCACATGTTGAAGAAGCTCTGTCGCTGACCCCCACAAATGTTCCTACACCGCACCCTGGAACAAGTTACGCTACTGAAAATAGTGAAGAAAGGACTTCTAGAATCACCATACCAACAACCGAAGGGCCACTAACAACTCATAATATGACCACTGCAAGCAGCATTCAAAAAGAACCTGTTGCGGCAACCACTGGTATTCCCAGAAACCTGGCAGAAGTGGAGAGGAAGCACCAGGAGAACCGAGCGAGACATGAGCAAGAAGAAAATGCTCGTTTTAAAATCAAACTTAACATGAAAAAAGACAATAAGCAAAAAGAGAACAAATTAATGGTCTTTAAGGAACTCAATGTGACTCAGTCACAAGGGCTAAACTCTTTGCATGAAAAACGGGAAGGTGACCATTTTCCCAAGGTCAAGTTTAACCCGACACCACCACCTCCTATTGCATTAAAGGAAGAGCATAATCAAATATCTCCCAAACAGTCTCAGACACTGTACCATTACCAGCCTGAAGAAGATGTAGATCCCAATTCAGTTCATACTTCCTCCAGAGTACCTGAAGGTAAGCTTGTGTATTTATTACTGTAGTACTGAAGCGGTCAATAAAAAGAGAGCAGAATATAGTCCCCCCCCCCTTGACACAGACTTGTACTGCATCAGATGAAAGTGTTGTCTTCTACCATTTATGCCTTCGCAATCTTGGTACCCACAATCCGACACTGGGGCAAATAACTTTCTGTGTGAAGGGTGTCTACTCTGCCACTGACAATTTTTGTTTCCCTCCCTCCATTTACTTAATTTTTTATCACACTTCTATAAAGTAGTTGCCAACTGGCAAATACTAATCATTGTTTCTTATGCCTGGATAAATAAGAAGTTAATCATTGCCAGAATGTGGCTTAATCATTTGTGCACTTGATATTGCTTTGATTAGACCTCTGCAGTAGATGGAGGAAGAGTTGGCTGGATACCCTACTGTAGTTTATCACAGTGTACATAGAAGTCTCTGTTGTTTCTAAAATTCAGGTATATGCTGAAGAGAACCACCACCACCTCTTATAGGAACTTAACAGTCTCGTACCTCTAAGTAGGGCAGCAAAGTGTGGCCATTCACAAACAAGGTAAAGGTTTTTGCATACTTGTGGGCCTCACGGGATGTGCAGAAAAAATTAGTTACATATATTTTTAAAAGTACTATCTCCTCAAATGGCCTAATGAAGACTGAATTTGTTAGCTGCATTCCAAGAGGCACTGAACATTGAGGGTAGCTGAGTGTTGGTTAAAGTTTTTTGAAAGGGAGGAGGGAAATAAGAGAGGGAGAATTTTCCTGCTCTGCTCTAACAGCTTATGGTATCCCTAAATTCTTCCTTACAGAATAAGGCAGAAATAGTTTTCTCCCTGCTCTGTATTGCTCGGAAATGAAATGGTCAGCTTCCTGCTTGCCTATCCTCACAATTCAGTCAGTGCTATAGGGTCATTTGACCCTGTGGTCTCTGTTGCTGTGAAGGTGTTGTTTTGGGGTGGAAACAGGTGTTCTGGCATTTTGCTGTTGAACAACATCAGAGTCAGAGCAACACTGGAAGTGACATCATTGCATCAGGGCAATGCTTAAATCATAGAGTTTTGGGTGAATCCTAGAGACTCACCCTGATGCAATGACATCACTTCTGGTTTTGCACAGGAAGTGACTTTGCTCATCAGCACAGCACTGGCAAGTCTCCTTCATTTCCCCCCTCCCTGCCAGTGAAGCTGTAGCAAGGAATGGGGAGCTAAATCAGGACACCTGGCCACTCCAGCAGTTGTCCCACAGTTGTGGAAGGAACACCCCAGGATACTTGTAAGAAGAAGAGCTGGTTTTTATACCCTGCTTTTCTCTACTCTAAGGCGTCTCAAAATAGATTACAATTGCCTTCCCTTCCCTCTCCCCACAACAGGCACTTTGTGAGGTAGGTGAGGCTGAGAGTGTTGACAGAACTGTGACTGGCCCGAGGTCACCCAGCAGGCTTCATGTTGAGGAGTAGGGAATCAAACCTGGTTCTCCAGATTAGAGTCCACTGCTCTTAACCACTATACCATGCTGGCTCTCAGATACTCTTGCTTTCCATTTTTAAGAGGACTAGAGTCTTTTTTAAAATTCCAGATGGAGTTTACATGATGTTTAAATGGATTTTTGATATCTGGGGTGTTGTTTTGTATGGTACTTTGTTGGTTTTAAAGAGGGTATTTTTAAATTGAACCTGTTAGCTGCCTTAGGCTCTGCTGTTGTGAAAATTAAAATAAATAATATTGTGCTACAGTATTAGACTGCTGAAATTCAGGATCAGATGAGAATGGATCTCACTCTGGAGCTCAACCGCAATTATTGTGCAATCAGGGAAATTTTCCAGTTGTTTCTCTCCTCCTCTTTAATCCCACACAGGACAGTGTCAACTGCAGCTTCCAAAATAGAGCAAATAATGGCCCCAGGAACTTTACTGCTTAGGAAGGTGGTGGTGGTGGTGGTGGTGGTGGTGGTGGTGAGACAGAAGCCCTCCTCCCTGTGCACTACAGCATATCACCACCACGTTTCTTTGTGTCTACCTATGGTATCTATGACCTATGGTATCTATGTGACATCAAGGAAACATCAGTGGTTCAGGGGCTTCACCTTTGTTTCATTCATTCCTGTTAAGAATTTATTTATTTATTCCTGCTCTCGTCCTGCTCCCTCTCTGATAAGGTGAGAAATGAGGTCAGATCCCAATGGCTGTTGTCCAGGATAAAATTTGCCCATGATCTAACAATGGCGATGGCTGCCGCTCCCTTTCCTGCCAATCTGGGAGCCTCTGCACTTGCCTTTCTCATTTATTTTGTTGCCAGTGCTGAGTTAAATCATTAATGATTGCTGTCGCAATCAGACAGAGAGCGTATGCTTTCCAAGTATGGTAAAATAATATCCTGAACGATGTCAGATCTCCTTGTGCCAAAAGATAAAATGTATTCATCTGTATGATAAATAAAACCTACAAATGGGCTGCATTCCTGGCTGGTGAGTGTTACCGTTGGGTGGCTGCCACTTCACGACCTGTGGGAAAGCTCACACCCAGACAATGGAAGGTAAAAATTTATGCTTAGAAGGCCCTTTTAAGCACTGACATCAACCTCTATTAGAGTAAATTTAGAAACCAACACTGCAGAATGGAAATAGGTCCAACATGACTTGTTCTATCTAGACCATGATGCTTTTAGCAAGCCACGTGTAACAACTGGACCTTTGAGTACATCTTCCGTGACCCCAAGGTGCTGCATTTCGACATTCCAGCAGGACTGTCAATGGACTCTGCTCCAAGCCTGGAACTAGATGCAATGAGAGGCACTTGGCTACTACTGGCAGTAGCCTCACCTCTCACCCTCTTTTCCCTGGTCATCATACAAATGACATGACATCACACCACTGCACTTAAGATACTACCTGCTCTCGTAAGAGGCATGGAGTGAAGTGGGGCAGGGAAGGAGCATGGGTTTGCCATTAAGAAATTACCATGGAAAACAAAAGATGAGTTGCAGACAGAAGCTACTTTTATCTGATCCAGTTGATGAGAAGCATAAGACATTCATGTACTAAATATACATTTGCTCTTTTGCAGATGCATGCCCATCCACACATACATACAAACAGAGAGACAGTAACTTGTATACTTCATAACTGGCAAGGCTCTCTTCACATCACTGTATGTGCCCCACTTCTCTGGAGGCCGAACTACATGATACACTGAGAATTCTGTGTATAGAACTCAGTTAACAAGTGTGTGCATGGGCATAATTCGGATTGGGACCACAGTGTGAAGGGCAAGAGCTTTCAGTCTTTCTCCTTTGATGCTTGTTTTCATGATTTAAAAACGGCCCTGCTGTGTTATGAAACTACACATATACTGGTATCGGATGGACCTGCAGTTTAACAACAGAGCAAACAGCACCCTCTCAGGGCAACTTTTGATCAGGGGAGGGGATGGCACAGCAGCCAAGGCTTAAAGGCTTCATATCCTTGTGTCATGTTCTCAATCTGACCCTCCCCCTACACTGGATAACTGTTTTTTTTAAATTAAATCCATGGGAGGGAAGGCAGTGTGGTATAGCCTGATCTCAACAGATCTTGGAAGCTAAGCAGGGTCAGCCCTGGTAGGTACTTGGATGGGAGACCACCAAGGAGGACTACTGTCACGGCAGGATCAGGGGGCGTGACGCAAGCAAGCCAAAGTCCAGGAACAGTCCGAGGTCAAGCCGAGCAAATCAGGTAGCAAGGTTCAAACAGGTTTAAATCACAGTCCAGAAGCAGGGTCAGACATACCAAGGTTTCAAGTCCATAAATCACAATGATAACAGAGGAGTCAGAGATGAACGAAGGTCAACGAAGCCGAGGGTCAAAAGCCGAGGATCAAGCCGATAAGAATTCCACAAGGTCTGGAGCAGAGATGCAAGGATTCAGGTCCTGACAAACAACATTTGCCAGCACAAATGACTGCTGGCAACAGACTTGCAGATATACAGTGCTAGCTAATCAAGTCATTAGCTAGCCGGGAGTGAGGTCAGGATCCTGTCAATATTCAGGGCTGAGAGATCTTCTGGCACGCATGCGTGCATTCTGCCTTCGCTCTCTCAGCTGCTGTCTCCTTACATTCCAGAGCCTGGTTACAGGTGGGGGCGAGTCTGATGATGAATTACTGGGCTGCAGCAGAGACTGATCCCTTGCAGGTGTTCCCTGGGAGGCTCTATCCTTCTCACCACTTAGATAGCTTTCAGCTACAGGATCCAGTCTTTGCCTTTCTGCTGCAGTACAGTCCTCAGGAGCCTGTAAGTCCACAGGCTTCTGGCTGGCAGGTGCCTCCTCAGGGGCATCAGCAAGGGCAGGCATGGCATCAGCAGGGGCAGGCATGACAACTACAGAGGAAGGCACTGGCAAACCACCTCCTCTTCTCACTTACCTTGAAAGCCCCTTGCTGGGGTCACCATAAATTGTCTGTGACTTGACAGCACTTTATACACACATGGGTGATCCATAAAACAAACTCCTAGTTTATTGTGGAGTTAGGCCCTCAGAGGTGAACAGTTTCAGACAAGAGTGTTTTCCCAGGTTAGTTTCCTTTGGAGGAAAGAACACAGAAATAAAAACAGAGCACAGGTAGAGTCATTCCTACAAGGCAGCAGATTCACTACCCTACATCAGATCCCCAGAAGGAGACAGACAGACACAGAGAGATCCTGTACCCCATTCAGCCAACTCCTTCCATGTCCTTTTTATCATCAAACACTGTACTTCCTTTTTACACAGACACCTATCTTCTCCCAGCCTCAAGCTAACTGGGGAAGTCACCTCTTCCAAGCCCTGATGGGCACTTAAAACCATTTCCTGACTCTCAAAACCCATTGAGGAGACATCTGTATCATTAAGACACATAATTCCCTTTGTCATGAAGCATACTCAGAGCCACTATGGCCAAGCCTGCAAACATTTATTAAATTCAAGAGGGGAGCACAATAATTCAATGAAGTAGCTTCTTCCCTCCACCTAGGTGTCCCCTTTAT